CACGCCCACAAACTATTCGATTTTTTGCCCCAGCCAGCAAATCTCGGCCTAGACCATGATCTTGAACCTCCACCACCTCCTGGCTAGGCGATACCGGCCGAAATCAACTCCTGACCTGACGATCTCAGACGGGATCTCCTGGCCAGCGGTGGTTGAGGTGGAGGTAGAGAGGCGGTGAAAAGAAATTTGAGATATGGGTTAAATTTTGAGATACAGGGTTACTTTCTAATTTTCCTACTTTGGGGTTAAAAATAATTTATAAATTTATTTGTTAAGGGTGTTATAATAATAATACCTTTTGTACATGTTTTAAAACTTAAAAATGGGTAAAAGTGTTAATTTAAGGACTTGGCATTTCACTGTACCTTGGGTGGGAACATGTCGTTTGCTCTTTTAAAAACAATTAATGTCTTTGCATAAAGTAAACCAACGCCTATATCCACCATGGATTGCAATTTGCATGCGACACATTTGCCGCACTATGCTATATGATCTATTTTTAGTTTTACACTAATGTCTCTATTAAAAACAACATTTCTTGACGGACAGTATATGTTTTTCCAGAAACTCTTATAAAAAAGGTTCTCACCTTCACTAGATATGTACAATTCTTGATTGTATGGTATAAAAAAAAATCTAAAAAAAAAAAGTATATGAGTGTCATGTGTTAAAGTGTTAAGACTCATTCTTAATGTGTTAATTGATTAAATAAGGATCGACAGTTAGATTAACTAAATTAGTTGACGTCAAATTCTATATAATTAATAAAATAAATTAATTATTGAAAATAAATAGAAAGAAAAAATAAATTAATTATTAAAGAATTTTTTTTTGATGTAATATTTGGTATAATGGATTAGAGATACGATAATGAAATGATTTTAAAATTATAATGCACAAGATGGTAATACATGAAATCGCTCATCGATATGTGAATTTACTTGGCAATTTCTTGCTCCTCAGTAGACTTGAGGAGCCAATTGCTGAATAAAGGGCATCTGATCTAGGCCGCAATCGATGCAGTCACCAATGTCAAAAGGTTCATAATTAGTTGACTATGATAGTAACTCAAATGGGTTGGGTAACTTATCCTTCCACAGGGAAAGAAAAAAAAAGAAAAAGAAATTAGTGAAGAATGTTATGGGTAACAATGTTGGTTAATCTCCAAGAGGTGAAGAATCCGACAAGTTTTGTATGCTTGGAAGAGTAAACGACATATTCTCTCACCCAAGGTTTGACGAAATCTTAAGTTAGTATCATAGATTTCATTTATTTCAGATTCTCATCCTTAAAGTAACAGAAAATGGTTAGATATAACAGTTCAGGGGTAAATTGGTCATTTCACAGAGGAGGTGCACATTAGCAGATCGGAGCCCCTGATAAAGTTTCGGCGTACATTAGCCAACCTCACCGCCAACGTTTTTTGCCCTTTTCCGATGATTCTTCCACCCAAAATCACCCTTGTCACCACCATTCGAACCCTCATCCTCCCCTCTACAAAACCGTACCTTTGACAACCTCTTACCACTCGTCGATCGCCAGCCACGATAGTCGGCACATGCGATTGGTTTTAGTTGATCTCTACCGGCGAATGACCACTAAACGGTTGCTGGGACATAGGAGTTTTGTAGATAAGGAGATGCTGGTTGTAGTGGTGACGTCGAATTAGATTTTCATCGTCGGAATCTATCGAAGAATGACAAAAACCTAACCCTGACGGTGCCGTTGATTGGAGAGGTCAATAAGTCTGGAATCAGAGGGGTTTTGGACGACGGACGATGGGGAAGCTGATGGAGGTGATCAGGGGTTTCGCCGCCATCGAAAATAGCTCAGATCCGATGAAAATCAAGACGGTGCGCAGTCACTGAGGGGGTAATTGAAGTAATTTCAAAACAAGATGATTAATTTTATAATTTTAGTAATTTAGGGGCTAAAATATAATTTATTAATTTAAGGTTAAGGGCATTATGGTAATTATACCCTCACTACCCAAAAAAATGTTAATAATGTTATTTTAAGGATGAGAATCTATAATAAATAGAACTTAAGGTACCAATCTGAGATTTTGTCAAACTTTGGGTGGGAATATGTCGTCTACTCGCTTTGGAAAAGAAAAGAACATAAAAAACCACAATTACCTGGTGTCACGGAAGGGAATCGTGGTTTTTCATAATCTCGTGCTTAAGTTTCTCCTGGACCTTGCGGGTACCAACTACCAACCCACTGTGGAATCTGCTTGGCTGGACTGTCACTGTGTCAGTTTTTATTAACTTTTACATAATATTATTAATTTACTATTAACTACTGCTAAACTGCCAGCTAACAACAATACTTGACAGAATTAAGATAATTTGGATCCGAATTAACATTAGTGTAACGAGGTCCTCTTTTTTTTTTATTTGATATCTTGTGTATGCAGTCACAAGGAAGATATGGAAAATGAATAACCAATTGATATGAATCAACCTTAGGTGAAACCATACATGATTGATGATACATACGTAGGAAATTCCGAAATTGTACGAGCCTCCGCAAGTAGCTCTGGTTACACGTACTCTGTACAGACAATCACAGCACATCAGGTACACCGGGAGGTCCACCGCATCATTAGGTTCCGTGATTGGATTTGAAGGCTTTGATAAAACCTAAAAATTCTAACAACTCATTCATTGAAGTTGAGTCCAATACACCAACAATGTTACTTCAGCATACACCGTTAACACTGTTCTATGTTTTATTTTTTATGACCCATCTTCAATTGGTTCATGATGTCTTGTCCAGAAATGTAAATTTACTGATTTATGGATGTTTCTATTATTATGAGACTGATCTACATAATGGTAAGAAGGTGTATTTACTATTTAGACATTGATTTCTTCACTAAAGACAACTTATCATAGAGTAAGTATGACTGTTGGGTGGAGTTTGTTACGGAAATTCCGAAATTAAATAATAATAACGACAAATTCTTCTGCCCTTTAATCACTGCAATGGAAATGATTGGTCATGAATAAGGTTGTCTTGTTCGTCTATAATATTAATAGGAGATCATAATTTAAAAAACGAGCAAAGGACATGTTCCCACCCAAGGTAAAGCGAAATGCCAAAGTTCCCACCCCTAGTATCATAAATCCCATATTTCCACCTTTAAACTAACAAAAAAAATTGGTTAATATAACAGTGAAATGGTAGAATAGTTATTTTCAATTTTAGATCCAAATTGAAAATGAGCCGCCACCAGAACCACTCATATAGCCCATCACCACCACCACAAGTTACATAGACTTCCAACCCAAATCAGTCGATCATCATACAAAACAGAGAGAAATGAAAAAATGGGGAGGAAAGAAAAGCATTCAGCATCAATCACGATGGCTTGTAAAATAAAGAGACATTATGTCTTTTCTCTTTTCCTTCAACCTCCTTGCTATCTCCCTCTAATGATTGATGAAAACAATTTTTTTTGGGTGGTTTCTCTTCATTGTTTGTCTCTCCTGCACTGCCGATTCAAATTATTTCTTAATTTTGCCATGCTAGATGAACAACTTCGGAGATGTTTATCATATGCAACGTTCAAAATATAATCTCATTGCGCTATTATTGGCTACCAACTTAGCGACCACTTCTCCAATTTCATCTTGGATTTCTCACTTGATCTAGCAAATATTGATCCAAACTTCCAATTTGGCAACCCAGACTTCCCTTTTTAGCACTAATTCAAAAGCCCTAGCTTCTCTGTCACCCCCTTAACAAAAGCCGCAGCATCCCGACGTCTGGTCGTTTGTCGAATGCCGTCCACTGCCCCTTTGGTTGTTGCGCAAGACTGTCACGATTGAGAGCTGATTGGAGTTTTTTTGGAAGGATTTTGATTGTATTTGGAGTCCTTTGTTGTTGTGGATTGATTGTACAAATTTCCCAGCCAATTTCCTTGCCGCCAGCTACCAATCCACCTGCCTTTGAAACACGCCCACAAACTGTTCGATTTTTTGCCCCAACCAGAAAATGTCGGCCTAGACCATGATCTTGAACCTCCACCACCTCCTGGCTAGGCGATACCGGCCGAAATCAGCTCCTAACCCGGCGATCTCGACCGGGATCTCCTGGCCAACGGTGGTTGAGGTGGAGGCAGTGAGGCGGTGAAAAGAAATTTGAGATATGGGTTAAATTTTGAGACGCAGGGTTACTTGCTAATTTTCCTACTTTGGGGTTAAAAATAATTTATAAATTTATTTGTTAAGGGTGGTATAGTAATAATACCTTTTGTACATGTTTTAAAACTTAAAAATGGGTAAAAGTGTTAATTTAAGGATGGGAATGTGAAATTTATAAAACCAGTGGTGGGAACTTGGGATGTCACTTTACCTTGGGTGGGAACATGTCGTTTGCTCTTTTAAAAACAATTAATGTCTTTGCATAAAGTAAACCAACGCCCATATTCACCACGGATTGCAATTTGCATGCGACACATTGGCCGCACTATGCTATATGATCTATTTTTAGTTTTACACTATCTCTCTATTAAAAACAACATTTCTTGACGGACAGTATATGTTTTTCCAGAAACTCTTATAAAAAAAAAAAGGTTCTCACCTTCACTAGATATGTACAATTCTTGATTGTATGGTATAAAAAAAATCTAAAAAAAAAAGTATACGAGTGTCATGTGTTAAAGTGTTAAGACTCATTCTTAATGTGTTAATTGATTAAATAAGGATCGACAGTTAGATTAACTAAATTAGTTGACGTCAAATTCCTAATTATATCTGCTTCAGTCTTTTTCTGGTATTGCACATCCTAGTTGTGGTTCGTATCTCCAGTCCACACAATGGCTGATTTCCATTTTCAAACATTCAATTTGGATTATAATATTAATATTTTATTATTTCTCGCGTGGGAACGTGAGGTAGTGGTGGAATCTTAGCCTCAGCAACTTCCTTTTTTACTAGTAAAATTTTATTCACCATTCAGTGCTTGACATAATCACATTTCTGTTTGGACAAATGTCGTTTTTTGCTCTAAGCTTGAAAGCACTTCCTCTTCATCATCGTGTCTATGAGACTGAGTACTGTAACTTTTCACCCGACCCATTGGCTTCTTGCCACTTTTCTATGAGAAAGATCAAACCAGTAGAAAAAACCAAAGGCCTAAAACTTTATATTCGATAAAAAGAAATGCAAAACTTAAATAATGAACAATCCCATTATTGTATTATGGATCATACGCATAGGTTGAAGTCGGCATCTTAAAATAATAGGAATCTGTTTCTGTGCATATGCTTGCAGATTCTTTTATTAGAAAGCAACATGTTACCAAAATACGGATAAGGTTGATTTAATGTGCGTCTGAGATTTCTTATATTTAAAAATAAGTTAATTCGATCATGTTAAAAGCATATTTGATTTGATAATGTCATACTGGTTATTATTCTGGTAAATTTTGTTTAAACTGCAGCAGGTTTATGAAAAATTCAGGTTAACTTTAAGGAAATTATGGTAACTCTTTCGTGGATTGCATAGCCCAATTGCCAAACGGAGCGTCATGAAGCAACAGAGATACAAAGCGTTTACTCTTACTCAAACAGCTGCCATCACTATCTGACTTTTCCTTTCTTTTTATTAATCAATCAATCAATCAATTTATTATTTACATTCAAACAAAACAAGAAACAAGAGGACATGAAATGATTGAATTGAATTAAATGTGTGGTTTTGCAGAGAAGCAAAGGCAATGGAGATTGATTCTTCTGATAACTCTAATTGGCTCATCGATTATGGCATAGTCGAAGCCATTCCTATCACCGGAACCTTCGACTGGCCTTCCCAATCCGCCTTCACCGCTTCTTCTAATGAAAGGTAAGTCTCGCCAAACTCCATTTTCCTTTTCGTTCTCGATAAAGTAGGATGTTTTCATTTTGAATTTTTTAATGTTGTCATATTGTTGCTACTTTATGCGTGTTCTTGAGTTTTACATAAAGATTATGTTTCTGTTATTTGGAGAATTTATGGATGAAAAAAAAACTAATCAAACAAACGTTAAACTTGTGATGAAAAAACTGCAAAACAGCAAAGAATGGACAGCGTAATCATAGTGATAAACTAGCTTTAATTCTCTTGAAACATCTTCCGCCATTTCCGGAAATGATTATATAACCATTCTCGATGAGGAGGCAGATCATATATCATAGACTCTTTCTGTATCCATTTTCAATAATGTGTTTAAGGAAAGGCCTCGATTAAACTCTTAGCTTCAATAGTTTTCTCCAACCCCTACTGCGCAATTTAAGCGTTCCTTTACTACCATGCATTCTTACTCCCAATTTACTTTCATTCTTGAGATAGCTTTGTGAACTGAGACTAGCTTTAGCCTAATAGCCAGAGGAATCATCATTCTTGTACTTGCATAACTATTTGTGCTTAGTGTAATTAGTTTCTTTTTCTCAATCTTGTCATCTCATTGACTATGCTGTACGTTTCCAGAGTCAAAGTGGATTGCTCATATGGCGATTCAGATATGCCCAAGGAAGTTGGCTCCCGAAAAAGGTTAATATCTGTTCCTCTGTATTTCTCTAGAGTTTGATATTTCAGACTAGCTCAAGAGGCACTCTAATAAGAGTACTTTACATGTTATTATGTGACTCTATTGATGAGTAAGGAGGATCTGCCAAGAAGTTTCTGCTGCAAAAAGCAGCAGAGATGACAAAATCTAAAGAGTAACTAAAAGTTTAACAGATCAGTCTCGGGTTACAAGGGACCAGAACCATGAGGACAGTTTTGGGCATGATCTTATAACAGTAGCTATGACATTTTATTTTAGTTATAGTGAAAGAGCTATGAAAGCCAAGTTTATTAATTGATTATCTGCCTTTTTAGAGATTTTGAGCACCGATTTTGGCTGTGATTGTTCATATGATTGTCCTGTGACCCCAAGCAACCATGGTGGCTTACCTTGATTGATCCAGGCTGGTTGGCAACATGGCTGCGCCCCCCCGCCTCCTTTTTTCTTAGTTCAAGAAAATAGCATGTTTTCCCAAAAAAACAAAAAAAAAAAAATTGATGGTGATTTAGGGTCTGTACTCGAGATGAATGGTTTTGTATATATTTGTGTTTGAGTTCTATATAAACTTTTCCAAAATAAATTGAACACTCAAGCACATCTTTCAATGGATATCCTGATTACTTATTTACAAATTCTGCATTAATTTTCTTTTTCTATCTCATATCTTTGTCCCTTAATTTTGAGTAAATGCTTTTACAGGTTGAAGCCTGAACCATGTAGTGTATCCGGCTCCAAAGCATGCCGGGAGAAGTTGCGTAGAGATCGGTTGAATGAAAGGCATGATATTGTTTTTCTTACTTTTTATCCTCACTTATTAAGTGTTTTCCTTCTCTTAATTTTCATAAGAATTTGACATGATTGCTAGGTTTCTGGAATTATGTTCTATCCTGGAGCCTGGCAGACCACCAAAGACTGACAAGGGTGCTATTTTGATTGATGCTGTCCGAATGGTGACCCAGTTAAGAAGTGAAGCCCAGAAGCTGAGGGAATCCAACGAGGAATTGCAAGTAAAGATTAAGGAATTGAAGGTGAATCTTTTTCATATTGACCACTTTAAAGTTCACTGTATTTGTTCAGAGGTCTGATTTTATTATATTTGGCCTGAATACTAGAGATTTTTCTACATGGATTTTGGGTAATTATTAGCACCTATTTTGCTCTTTATTTATGCAGGCTGAGAAGAATGAGCTCCGTGATGAGAAGCAGAGGCTAAAGGCTGATAAAGAGAAGTTGGAACAGCAAGTCGAAGCCATGAGTCCACCAACCATCTTTTTGCCTCATCACTCTACAATGTCAGCTGCATTGGCTGCTCAAAGCCAAGCTGCACTGGCTGCTCAAAGCCAAGCTGCTGGTAACAAGCTGATGCCTTTCATGGGTTACCCTGGTGTTTCCATGTGGCAATTCATGCCACCTGCTGCAGTTGACACATCAAATGATCATGTACTTCGTCCTCCAGTTGCTTAACATCCATGGTTGGTTAATATGCTCGTGCTATAATGTTTTTTATTTGTTTTTTTTTTTTTCTCAAGTATGTATTTGTTTGTGAGAAATTGGAGAGACTTGCTTAGTTGGACATTTTATGTTTAGAAACTGGCAACTCATATGTCTATTTGCGTTTCCAATGTAAAATATAATAAGTGTGTGCTTAAAGTTAAGATGTTGAATCAAGATGCACAAGGAAAATCTTTTGTTTGTCAGCCTGATCGTGATACTAAAATTATCCGTGTTTTATCTGATTCAGAAGTTTGGTTCTCAATGCTTGTAGTCTTGTAAGATAACATTGCTGATTTGTAATTATGGAAAATGACGATGAATGTTGTTATCAGTAATCTATTCCTCAATTGTACCGTACACTAGAAAACGAGAAAGACTAATTAACACAAGAAATTTTGCTCAAAGAAATAACTCAACAATATAGCAATTCCTGCCAGAAGGAACACTCGATCTTCAAAGGCACAAAAGGATCAGCAATCCAAAGCTGAACCCCATTGTGAGAGTTGTTTCGAAACCACATTTGGTAGCTGATGAGGGAGGTAGCTGTGGTGAAGAACCACTTGGAGGAAGGGATGTTGAAGGAACATCAAAGGAAGGCAGAGGACTGCTCTGAGGTGAGTCGGATGAAGATGTAGGGGACAATGTTGGAGCAGATTTTGGCGATTCTTCAGGGGAAGGGGCAGAAATTTCTGGAGCTGGGGAAGTACTGGGAGTGACTGAGGAATCTGGTGGATTAGCAGGACTGAGTGGGGTAGCAGTAGGTGATGTTGCAGGAGATATCGATGGTGGTGAAGATGTTGCTAGAGTGGTTATTTCAACTTTCATTCCTTGGCTGCAATGTCCTACTGTTCCACAGATGAAGTATCTCTTGCCTGGAGAAGAGAGAGGGATGACTGTGTTGCCATCACTGAACGACTGAACTGCTCTAGTTGACTGGCAAGAATCGTAGTCGGCCTTTGAAACTTCAAGCACATCATGGCTTGCTATATACTGGAAAACTGCATATAAAAGTAAATCAATTTCAATGCGGTATCTTGATTTTACTTTGTTCACATAGTTAGCAATATTTCGTGCTTATAACTTACTTAGATTGTCGCCTACTTGAAAAGATTGAGAAGAGGCCCAAGATTGCAGGTCGGTGGATGTATCCCATCCTCCATTTGTTCCTCCAACCGTGTAATTCGCCGCCATGGATAGTTGGATGAACATGGCTACCACAGCCAAACTTATCAAAATTCTCAGCACTGCCATTTCCCTGGTTGACACAATACAATATTGGAGAATAGAATCAATTATGTGGAATGGTAAATGGCAATCGACAGAAAAGGAGTGAATGGGTTTTGAATTGAAATAGGAACTCAATATATAGAATTAGAAGATAGTGATGACAAGTAGCACTTTTAGAATGAAAATATGTTTTTGTTTATGGTTTAGCTGTTGGAGTTGGTGAAGCACGTGGACAAATTAAGATTCGGTAATCACAGGTTGTTCACTTGTAGTTATCAATTTTTAATATTTTTCTATTACATTATTTTGATAAATTATTTTGTTCCATTTTTCAAAATCCACATTAACTGTAGTGTTTTTCTTTTTTTGTAATTTTAAGTATTTTGTTTTGCAATCAAACACTAATTTTGTGAAACAAAATTTTGATTCGGGAAATACATGTAAATATTTTGAAACACGGTAGCTTTTAGCGACGGGTAAGGTCCAATGGGAATATGGAAGGAGTCAGAACTAGGTGAGGGAGTGGGAGTGGTTTGTGGGATGCATGTGAGTTTGAAGGTGCACCTAATCATGACCTAATCCAAGCATCCAACCCATTGCAAATAAAAAAAGAAATCCATGAACATGGATATGATAATGGAAGCACGACCAGATGTGTATGTGTGTTTCTATTATTGGATGAAAGTTGAAAATACTAAACTATCTTTTCTAATTTATTAGTTGTACCTGCACTACACTCACCAGGTCCACTTTGTGATCACAACACAAATTTTAAAAGCAAATCAACTGTTGGTTTTGCTTTCTTCTATAGTAATTGTATATTAACTTCGTATATATAATACATGACTTATCAACTAGTGTTAAATAGTTAGATAGTAAAAGAACAAAAAGAGATTTTATAAACTCATGAGTTTGGATACTGAAAGATTAGTTGAGGTGCAGTGCGTCAGTCAGTGATATAAAAAAATAAAAATAAAATTCCATCTCCCTGCCTCACCTTCCATCAATTTCCAGCTAATATTTTTCTATACAAGTGCTTTCGCAATTTGCACTGCAATGTTTCCAACTAACATATATTTCTCAAAATGGTACTCGTCATTCCTGTCTAAAGAACCTATATAATTCAAAATTCAATTACATTATTATTTATTACTAAAACATGCATTAATCTCATGATGCGTACAGTTGTTTTATTTTATAAATCTTTCTGAAGTAGTTCTCTGAGTAATATTCATCTAGGACTGATATATGTTGGTCTTTTTTTTTTTTTAATTACAAAGAAAATAGATTGCGACCATAAATGTTCTCATTACACATAATCAGTTTATGTACAAAGAGTACTTGTCGCACAAGACTTGTTATTGTCTTAATTATTCGGGGTGTCTCTTGATTCAGAGGACCTTTATTTAGCATATGGTATGGGACATTACATTACATAATTTTAGATGCATGCTTAGCTAAGGCAGAAAAACCATTAGAACAAGCATTAATTAACAAAGGAGTAAAGCTCATATCTAACATTACAACTCCCTCCAACAACTCTCGCTCCTCTTTTTCCACTGCAGCAGCTTGGTAATTCACTTATGGCACTGTCTAGGCACTTCTTGCAATTAGAATTCGAAAGATCTCTACTACATTGACCCAATCCATACAATGTCTTCGATCCCTCACTCTCTAATTTACCTGCTACGTACCACTTTTGATTTGCCGAAGCTATAGAAGCTAAGCTACTCAACAGCTCCTTAACTTTTTTATTGAAGGACGTTGGATTGTCTACGCCTTTTACGTTATACATATAGAACTTGTTTTTGTTATCTATTTTCCCAAAGAAGTCAGCGTCTGAGTACTTCAACATGCAGTTATCGTACCAAATGATAGCTCCTTTCTGTTTAGGGCATTGCTGGCGAAGCTTCTTGATTGCATCATTGACACAAGTAACACAGTTTGTTTTTGACACATCTCCCCGGCAAAGGGCTATTCCATACACACGGCTTTGGCCTTGTCCAGACGAGCCACGCGCAAAACCTGTAGAAGAAACTTTGGTTGGGAGAGTCTTTAACAGGTTATTCAAGTTGGTGCGATAAGGGCTGTTGGCAGTGAAGTTTTTTGGGCCAAAACAATAATGGTAGAGAGGGTTAGTACATATGGCTACATGGAGGGAAAGAGAGAAAAGTAAAAGACCGAGAAGGACTGATTTCGAGCTTAACATTTTAGACTATGGACGTTGTGGAAAATCAGTAGATCTATGACTGGTACTGAGCATGCATGTCAGCTGGAAATGGTTCATCTTTATAGAGGAAGTGCGTCAAATTTTGGGGTTGAAATTTTTATCTTCGTGACCACTAATCTAGCTTTTGTTAATAATATCCATACCTAATTTTGTATCTGGGCTTGGGTTGCACTTAATCTATTTCGTAGAGCGGTGTTATTTTTAATTCACGTTATCACGTTGCATGTTTATCTGTTGTTGACTTAATGATAGCATGTCATTCTATTACCAAAGTTTAAGCACAGTTTTATCACATCTTTATTCAGTTTTATGCGCCTATTAATCCCAGCTGAAATCGTTAGAGGTGTACAAATAAATTATATATACTAATTTTTTATAATGACAATATTAATAGTTACGATTGAAAAATGAAATAACACATCTTTTATATTCAATTTAGCTAATAGGCGATATACATGGTAAGCTTTTCCTTGTCTTGGAACAGAATAATACATGGATTATCCAACGTAATTCTTTCAGTAGTGAGGTCAGGCAAACAAGAGGGTTGAATTGAACTACAGCTCATCATCAATATTATAACGCTACTGAGCTCGTAAGAAATCTGTGTTTATCGTAAATATTAGTTATTAATACTAGAAACATGTAAAATACCGAAATAAATTCGTAAAACCTATTACAAATTAATGAACGCCCAAAATTTTCCCGTCGTCACAAGCTAGGTAGCACATGCACCTATAATATCAAGCACAGATTGCACGTAAAAGATAGACAATCGGCATGATACAGTGATACTAGACGTTCTCATAATGTTAATTAATTATAAGCAAGTCATTCAATTAAATGAGTAGCCCTTGAGGGAATGGGAGGGATTGTCATTCTAGATGGAGCTAATTAGTGTATAGGGACAACCACATTCGGAACATGGTGAGAGAGATAGAGTTATGGACCTCAACAAAATGAAATCTTTCATGGCCAATAGAAGACTTGCTTTGCGGAGATTTGGGGATTACATATTACTATATTCAAAACTACATGTGACGAACATGAGTTTTCCTAACCCAAGGCTTGTCTTAAGGTAGGAATGATGTTGTGTTTTGTTTTTAGTCTTGTAAAAGTTTTTTTGAATCCTATCACAGGGCATGTCCTGTGGTAGGATGTCTTTACCTCTGTGTTCCTTTGTTTACTCTCCTCTTCTTGTCTCCTAGCATTCCCGTGTTTAATATAGACAAACAAAAAGATATTAAATTCTCAATATATTAGACTTATGTTTTTATTCATATTTTAGAGCTTATTCTGAGATAGGATGGTAAGTTTTTTTATGGTCTTTCTGTAGATTCTTTCTCTCTTTTAATTGTACTACTTACTTATCAAAATAATAATAATAATAATAGTAATTAGCGTATAGGAAATTTAATTAATTAGCAAGTCATTCAAAGCAGAGTTAACACATTCAAAACTGAATACAGGGAAAAACATAAGCTAATAAGCTGAGCAAGGACTTGGATACATGATTATATGGTCGTCGAGTAGTCGAATATAGGATTTCAAACATTTCTGTTCAGTATGTTCTATACAAACTGCAAAGGACTACTATTCATTTGTGATTTTAGAAGGGGGTTTCAATTTTATGACACAAATTAATGAACAAACTTTCAAAATAAGTAATGTTAAGCTAATATGATAAAAACTTACATAATTGGTTGGGCTTGGATCTAAGAGAATCAAAGGCCAGTGAATTTTGACGTAACATAATTAATAGTGGGTTCTGTGTATGCTCGTTATGCAAAAAGAATCTTCTCTTCATGTCGGCAACGTTTTAAGTCAAGTGTGGACGATGGAATTGAAATTGCTGACCTTTTTTTTTTTTTTTTTTTTTTTTTTTTTTTTTTTTTTTTGGGCTCTCCTAATGAGAATATTCCAATGCCTTTAACTTGCATGCCCACTTCGTTAATGCACTGAAGACTAAAGTGACAAAGGAATAATAAGAGCAAATTGACCAGAAAAAATCAACCTATTGGGACCAATAATTCAAAGTCAAAATGAGGTTATGTTTATACATCTTTCAGAGCGTTTACTAATTATTCATACAATTTGTCTGTGTATTAAAAAGTCAATGGCCTACTACTATTCTATGTTTTGCTGGCAATAGCCGCAATACACGCACATTTACGTTTTAACCAATGCCTTCATCATCGTTAATTAATTCCAAGTTTGACTGTGCCACGTTCTTTCGGATATGTTCAACTATGAGATTTTTATCATTTATGATTAGGTCAATTGAAACTTCAAAATGATTATGATAATTAGATAATAGTGGTGTGTGAAATATTCGAAAAGTTATATAAACTATATGTAATGTAATATTACAAAATAACAAAATACAAACCAGTATGATACTTTTGTTATTATCATTGTATATATTATATAGTATCAATTCATCAAATTTTAAGGGTAAAAAAATAAAATAGATATGATCTAAGCTATTTGATACCTATAATAACATGTTAATCCCTCTCGCCCATTGTGGCGAATACACATATGACTAATTTGCAAACAAATAAACTTAAGTAATTAACATTATCAACATTTGAAGAATCTCTCACTGATGATCACTTTGTCCATGATAATATTATGGGCTATAAAGCATGCAAAGAATGGAGTCAACTTTTAGCTTATTTGATGTAAGAAGATTAAAAGTAGGGGGAATTCCACGGCGGTGCCGCAGAGAGTCACTACGACCCAAGTACATATAGCTCTTCCTGCCAGATTAAAGTTGACAAATAATGGCGTCTGACTTCTCATCTCATTTCTATATTTAACTTCTTGTGGTTGTTGCATCCACAGCTGTGTACGTGAATCAACGTATCAAAATTTTGGCCTTAAACTTAAAGTTCGTTTTCCGTTTTATACGGTTGACTATTCAAACATCAAAATGCATGTAGAGAAATTTACTGGAGACATTAGACATATTAACGCACTTATTAAGGATTCTGCGCTCAGTTAATTCCTTCTATTCTTCCTTTTTTTTTTTTTTTTTTTTTTTTTGAGCAAACGACATATTCTCACAATAGCTTTAGAAAAATTTCAAATTGATATCTTTGGTTGCATTTATTTCAGATTCTCACCTTTAAAATAACGTTGTTTCTTTTATTAACGTTGTTTCTTTTATTTTAACAGATTCTTAATTTTTTACTGTAGGATAACGCACGTCAGCACATTAAGGTGCGTCGGCATTTTCTTTGGCCAAAGACGGGCTTATGTTAGCAAAAAATGGCTCACATTAGTAGCATCCAAGCTAACGATTTTAGATTTTTTCTGACCGATTTCAAAGTTCAAAATCACTTCTAAAACCACTGTTCGACTCTCACAACTTTCTTTACAAAACACATACTTTCACTTGCCAACCTTGCTCACCGTTTCCGACTATCTCTAACAGTTACTACCAGTGTTAGTTTAAGAATGGGAATCTGGAATAAATGCAACTAAGGGTATCAACTTAGGATTTCACTAAACCTCAGGTGGAAATATGTCGACTACTTTTTTTTTTTTTTTTTTTTCAATGAAGAACCTGGACACCATTCAAATACGTTCACGTACAACCATACAAAAAAACAAAGTTCATTTTTTTATAAACACGAGAGACGGAATGTCTTTGTCATTCTTTAATGAACAAAATTTCCAAGAAAGATATCTCATTTTTCTAAGAACTAGAAAGAGGTCGACTCCAATATCCATTGTTCCGGTATAATTTGGTCTTAAACCTGGTGCTGAAAATTGGTTAATGTTCCAAACATAGCTCGCTTTATAATGGTTATAGTGTATTGTGAGATGGGATCGATGTCCCATAATTTTCTTCCATGCATGGTGAGTATTCTATCTCGTCCGAACAAACATTACACATGCATAGGCGTAGGGTTGATCGATGCTTTATAATTGGGTGAAACTTATCAGCTTATGCAACAAGAATATTACTTTATATTTAATTTAAAGCAACATATTGTATTGATGACTAGAACGTACGTAGAAAAGATACAATTAGTGGCTGCAAGTCCATCTCAGCCCAGGACAAGGCTATAATGTTTCTTTTTGCAACCATTTATTTATATAATATTACAGTATGGATGACCCCTAAACCCCGGATGTTAAACTTTATGCATTAACAAAGGGGTATATCTCATATCTGAAGTTACAACTTCCACCAACAACTCTTCCTCCTTCTTTCCCGTCACAACAGCTTGGAAGTTCACCAATTATGCCGTCAAGACACTTCTTACAATCAGTGCTAGAAAGATCCCTAGTGCATTGAGTCAACCCATAAAGTTTCTTCGATTTTCCAAGCTCCATTTCCCCCACTGCATACAATTTGGGAGTTGCGTAAGCGTCCTTAGCCAGTTTGCTTAGCAATCCCTTTGTCTTTTGGTTGAAAGCCTCTGGCTCGCTTACAATTTGCACGTTCCACATATAGAACCTGTTTTTGTAGTCAACTTGGCCAAAGAAGTCCTTGTCGGAGTACTTGAAAAGACAGTTATCATACCAAATGATTGCAGCTTTGTTGTATGGGCAACGCTTGCGAATTTCACCGCTCGCATCAGCAACACAGGTTTTGCAGTCCGAAGTTGCGACATCACCTCTACAAAGAGCAAGTCCATATGTTTGGTCTGGTTTGTCACCCACGTTACTCATGCCAAAACCTGTAGGAGGAGTTTTCAGGTAGAGGGAACTTGTGAGTTTGTTCAAGTTTGTTTCATAGGGGCCATTGGCAGTGAAATTCTCAGGGTTTGAACAAAAATGAAAGAGAGGGCCAGCTCCAAAAGCTGTATGGAGAAGGACAGCAAAGGCTACAAGATAGAGGGAAGAGACAAAGTTTGAAGAAGACATTGTTCGAAAAAATGAGGCAGGTGGATGTGTTTAAGCTTAGGCTACGCAGCGTCTATTTATAGTGAAAAAAAAAAATCTTGAAGGAAAAAGTTTGAGGGGCCGGGTTGACATTTTCATTTGAATAAGAACATAAAAATGATTAGCGCATGTTAAGGTAATAAGACAATTTCAATGGTGGGCTGCGGTACTTAGAAAAGTCAATATTGGCAGGGAAGTGGTAAAATAATTTATTAAAATGAATGTAGTTTTTGAAAATTAGGCTGAATAATTCATGTAGAAGGTGGATGTCAGTAGTTCCTTCCAATAACATTAGACGTGAATGAACTGAAGTCTAATAAATATTAAATCTTCTTAACAATTGCGTATTGACCATCCTCAGTATTAGGATAAGATCGATTCAGATACTTCATTATAATTCGAGTTGAAGTTTTAGGTGATTAAGCACGCAGATTAAACTGTCCTTTTAGGAGACTCATGTGATTAAAATATTCAATAAGAATAGTGTTACACATCCAATCATTTTATAAACTCAAATTTTTTATTTAAAATAATATGATATTAATTTTTTATTAATTATCATGATGATTGTAAAATTATACGGTATATTATGGGTAGTTTCATATAAATGCTACATTATTATTTAAATACAAAAATTGATATATATTTAAATGAGCCTATTTTAAGGTGATCCTGATTACTTCAAATTTCATCGAGATTTGTATTGTATCAACTAGCTATTGAACAAAAATGAATTCCCCAAAGACGTACTTAATGATAAGTCATGTTGAAAACAGAATATAATATAAGTTGGATCTCATATTAGTGAAGGGTACAGTTGGATTCAATTAAGCAAGTGGGAGTAATTAATCTTAATCAGAGATATATTGCCGTCAACAGGTTGGAGAGGTCGGGAGCAATAACCATATATCGAAAACAGAATATACCTTTGCGATGCTGCATTTTCCCTTGACTTATTTTCATGTATTATGTAATAAATGATAACAGTACTTATGTCTTGTAATGAGAACCTGGGTAAATGTTTTTCAGGCGTATTACCAATCAATTAGTATGTCTTGTCGAAGTCTTGCTTAATGACACTTTTGATTTTCAGGACATCTTATGGTTGTTTAAGGTTTCTTTAATTTCATATATTATATTAAATATCAAAGAAAAATCGTTCTGGCTTCAAATTAAGTACTTCCGTGGAATTAATGCTTGTTCTGAATCATATATATATATATATATATGAATTTTCTTGTTTTTGGCCATATTATTGTCTTTATCTTCTTTTATCAATAACAAACATCAAACTGAGTTGAAGCCATTTGCGCATACATAATAATCATATTTATATGTATCAAGCCATAGAAAGAAAAGTCGTAAGGTAGGTTTGTATATAACCAAGTAATTAATGCTTGTATGCATGCACACAAATAAAGTCCTGGACAAATTAAAGTGAAATAATTAGAAAGCTAAACAGTATAATATCCTACATATGGTCACTTTTTTATTATGAAAGAATAAAGAATTTTATTGAGCAATATATATGCTGCATGCTATAAATAAGTGAAACAAACGAGAATTATAAACCTGTTCCTATCGAACTTATTATCTATGATTAGGGAGGGTGACCCCTAACTCTCCAATATGCTAAAATTTAAGCAGAAACAAATGGGTAAATCTCATATCTTATGGTACAGCTTCCAGTAAAGACCCTCCCTCCTTCTTTTCCATCACAGCAATTTGGAAGATCACCAATTATGCCATCAAGACATATCTTACAATTACTATGAGAAAGGTCTCTGGTACATTGAGCTAAACCGTAAAGCTTCATAGTATTATTATATCCTAGCTCCAATTCTCCTTCTGCATACATTTTTGGTTTTACAGAGGCTTCCTTAGCCAGTTGGCTCAACAACTCCTTCGTCTTCTGATTGAATGTTACCGGATTGCTCACATTCTTTACGTTCCACATAAACAACTTCTTTCTATTGTCGATTTGGCCAAAGAATTGTTCATCTGAGTACTTCAAAAAACATTCATCGTACCATATTTCTGCACCCTTGCTATTTGGGCAGCTACTGTGAATCTGACTGCTTGCTGCTGTAATGCAGCTTTTACAATCCGAAGAGGAAACATCGCCTCTACAAAGAGCAAGCCCGTGTGCTTTGTTGGGGTCCTGTCCCAATGAACCAAGACCGAAACCTGTGGGAGGAGCTTGATGGTAGAGATAACCCATGAGTTTGTTGAGGTTTGTCGCATAGGGGCCATTGGCAGTGAAATTTTCATTTGAACAAGAATGGAAGAGGGGATCAGTGACTCCAAAAACGGTTTGGAGAAGGAGAGCAAAGCTTAGTAAACATGTAGTAGAGGTAACTCTTAGGGAAGACATTACTACAAGAATTATTAGTATTTGGAAGTGTATAATGAGGATGATCGATGGGTATAGATTAAGATAAGCAGCTATATTTATAGTGAAATTTTACGCATGACTGGGTAGAAAAGTTGAAGAGGTTGACCTTTTCTTTTTGTATTGGGGATGGGATAGTCAAGGTGAGCAGAAGTTTTCAAATGTGATGGGATGTTGAGAAATTCAATAAGGTTAGTTGGGCGATCGAATTTTCATATTTTATTCGATCTTCTTATGTGTTTATTAAAATATAGATGATTTTAGAATTATTCTTCAAAAACTCATTCAAATATTTAACAAGAATCTTGAGCTGTGTTTAGTATAGTATTTAAAATAATATTTTTAAAACAGTTGAGTTGGATTGTTATTAAGAGAATATGATTTGAATTTGAAAATGTGTTTAGTAAATTTTTGAAAATGATTTTCTGAAAATATTATTTTTTAATTTCTTAGCTTTGTTAATTTAGTTAAACACCTCATACAATAAAAGTTTTAAAATTAACAAAAATACTCTCACCTACCCATTAAATATTGGCAGCCAGCTACCACCTCAGGACGATGGTCGAAAGTCTCTGGAATTATGCACGACCGGCTGGGTCTGGTCGATAGTGCGTCGATCTGGCCTTTTCTAGCTAGATCCACTGTAGATTTAGTTGGAAACGACCAGATCTACGGCCAAAGTCTGGCTATTGATGGCCATATTTTGGCCGTCATTGAGAACCAGATGTGACCAGATCTTTGGCCGTAGATCTGGCCTTTTCCGACTAGATCCATGGTGGTCGTTGTTGAGGACCAAATGTGGCCAAATTGGCATACGACTGGCCACATAGATTCCAGCCACCCTCCAATAGTGGTGGCCGATTGTCGGGAATATGTGGGTGGATGGGGGTGTTTTTGTCAATTTATAAACTTTTATTGTTATGGGTGTTTAGTTAAATTAACAAACCTAGGGAGTTAAAAAAATCTAAATATTTTGAGTTGAATAGAATGGGATTGGATTTTGAGAATATTGAAACAAATATGTATTTTGAATAGGAATGAGAATAATGAAACACACAGAGCCTTGGAAATTCACATTCTGCTCTAACGGATACAAGATATTAATTAGAATGAATGCAACAAAATCATATATATAAAATCAACTAAGTTCATAATTGAGTTGATGAAATAAAAAGAATTATGATTCTTCTTCTCCGAGATTAAATGTTGTTCTTCGTAAAAGTTTAAGTGTCTTAAATATTGATAGGAACTCTTAAGTGTATTACTTAAGAGGTCTTAAGTTTAAGTTCCTCTTCGAGTACTAATAGGGACAGCCGTTGGAGCTCTTACCCGACCGTTAGTTTCAGGGTTTTGAAGGATTAGTTGAGGTGCGTGTAAGCTTACCTTATTTATTATTTTTTTTTTATCGCCATTCTAAATTAATTATGGTCTAGTGTTGTCGTAATCAATATAAATTTTATAATCTCAATAGTTATGACTTTTTTTTTTAATTTATTTTTATGATCGGGGATGTTCAGGTCAGCTTACACGCACCTCAACTAATCCTTCAAGACCTTGAAACTAACGGTCGGGTAAGAGCTCTAATGGCTGTCCCTATTAGTACTCGAAGAGGAACTTAAACTTAAGACCTCTTAAGTAATACACTTAAGAGTTCCTATCAATATTTAAGACACCTAAACTTTTATGAAGAACAATATTTAATCTCGGAGAAGAAGAATCATAATTCTTTTTGTTTCATCAACTCAATTATGAACTTAGTTGATTTTATATATATGATTTTGTTGCATTCATTCTAATTAATATCTTGTATCCGTTAGAGTAGAATGTGAATTTCCAAGGCTGTGTGTGTTTCATTATTCTCATTCCTATTCAAAATACATATTTGTTTCAATATTCTCAAAATCTAAATTACTTGTGTGTGATCAACCTGTATAGTGCCTATAGCTGAATATTAAATTCCCTTTAGCGATTTTACCAATTATAATAAAAAAAATAATAATGAGCTCCTTGACTTGTTTTGTCTCATGAAACAAGAAAGAAAGAAATCAACTAAAAGATGATGTTTTGGTGGTAATTAATCAATACAAATCTAGCCTTAGACGAATTAAATTAATTTAACAAAAAAAATCAAATAGAAGAAGGTTTGTATGGTCTATCATCTATTGGCTGGGTAAAAGGTTCTAGAAACAGTACAATTAAATACCTAAAGAACACAAATGTAATTAATTGGCTTGGGGTTGTTCAACATGCATGTTTTAAAAATGTGAATGAATACATTGAATCGGAACTAATTCATTGATATTTAGATGATCTGGTTTTGCGTTCACTGTTAAGGTCTAATTTTTAGCCAAGTCAAATAAGTGAGAGCAATGCAACGGTGAGGAGAGTGGTTTGGGGTCTGGCTGGTGGTGCGCACGGTGTCAGTGGATTGGTTGGCGTCACTAGAGGTGGGAATTAGGCTGGGATCTAAAAAAACCCCAACCCAAAAAACCAGTCCTAAGACTGGACCAGGCCCAAGCGAGAGGGCCTAGGACTGGTCCCATGCACGTCCGAGCCCAAACCCCCTTCTCCAATTTCTTTTTAACTCCTGTAAAATATTCACTCGGATGTGTAAATTTCAAGCCTGGTTATAAGCTAAGATGCTTAAACCTAATGCCGAAGTCTTTACTGTACTTACGCAATTTACAACTAGATTTGGTGGCATTCTTGTGATTGGTGGATTAGTCTTCAGGAGTACAAACGAAATATGTTTATCCAAATGTCAGATATTAATCAACCTCTGTATCTCCTTTTTGATGAATTTTTTGGGTTACCTCACCGTTATGAGAACCAAGTCAGAGAAGAATATTTTAAGATGCAATGCTGTTCTCTTAAAAAGAAAGATCTTGACAGACATTATAAAGAGATGGTAAAAAGATATCATATACTTAGGGGTATGGATGATAATAACATGAAGCAAACATTTTTAGCATCTATTCCAGAATCCCTAAGTCATGAAGCAACCAAGCTTATGCAGTCCCAGAGCAAACAACTTGGTTCTACTTCTCTTAGAGAAATTTATTAGTTTGTCATTCTCACTCTGGAAAAGCTCTATTCCCAAAAACAATTTTTTGACGATTATTTGAAGCATTCTAAGCAGCTAACAAAGGTTTGTAAGAGACCAGACTTGCAAATCAAGTGCAAATCAGATCGCTCATGTTCTTGTCGTACCAAGAAGAAATTTCATTCCAGACGCATCAAGTTTTCTCCACCTAATGGTCCTGCCAGGCGCAAATTTTGACGTTTCAAACACTGCAAGTTTCTTCGAAAAAAGAAACGCAGAGGCAAACGATCTAATCAGTGTTATTTGTACAACTGTCCTGGTCATTTTGCCAAAAATTGTCCAAACAAGCCCAAACAGTTAGCCAAAATGATGCAATAGCTTTCTCAGCTCACTGATATAGATTTTTCTGATGATGATGTTGAAAGTTGGTTTTCAATAGATGAAGAACCCACTTCAGACACTATTTTCCAGTTTACGGCCACTGATACTGAGTTCTCTTATTCAGATGATTGTCATTATTTCTACTATATCCAACAGATACCACAATCCCTTCCATCAGTAGCCTTCTCATGTCACATACCTACAGTAAAAGTTCAGATCTTCCCCACTAAATATTTCAATCCCATTTCAGTCATAGCATTTTTTTATACTGGTGCTACTCGTACTATTATCAACCCTAAGATCCTCTCATCCTCTCAGTGGAAACCTTATCAGGAAGTTTTCTACATTGCTAATAGTGACACTTTCACTACTCATCTGATAAGCAAACCCATTAAAATCCAAATTTTTCCAGGATGTTTTACTTTTCATAAAGTTCTTGGTTCCGATTTACCTGACAAGGATACGGTTCTAGGTTTTGATGTTTATTCTAAACTCAATAAACTTAGAATCCTCCCTAATGGTGTTCGGTATAAGATGTTTTTCCAATCTTGGACCACTCAACCTAATTTATTCCAGATTGAAGGCAATCATATTGAGCATATCAAAACCCAGCTTATTTCCTGCTATTGTGCAAATTCTCATGCAGATTTTCTCACTAAATGTGCTCATCCATTATGGAAGAATTCAGATTTCTTTATCCATCTTCCATTCATCAAGAGTGAAGATATCAATCCCACTAAAGCTAGTCATTCAGGCATGTCACCAAAACATCTTAGCCTAGCCCAACAAGAATGTATTTAGCTTTTATCTCAGGGATTGATCGAACCCACAAATTCTTAATGGGCATGTGAAGCATTTAATGTCAATAAACGTGCTGAACAAGCCAGAGGAAAACGCAGACTTGTTATCAATTATCAGCCATTGAATTTCTTTCTCCGTGGTGATAAATTTCCTCTGCCTTCCAGACAAGTTCTCTTTGCAAATCTCCATAATGCAAAGATGTTTTCCAAATTTGATCTCAAAGCTGGATTCTGGCAACTTAGAATTCATCATGATGATCATCATAAGACTGCTTTCTGTATTCCCAATCAACACTACTAGTGGACGGTCATGCCTTTTGGACTTAAGGTTGCTCCTTCCATGTTTTAGAAAGCCATGACAAAGATTTTTGCTCCCCTTCTTCATATATGTCTCATTTATATCGATGATATCGTTCTCTTTTCAAAAGATGAGGAATCTCATATATGTCTTCTTCGTGACTTTGTTGATATCATATACTCTTATGGTATTATGCTCTCTGAGAAGAAAATGTAGTTAGAGCAGACAAAAATTGATTTTCTTGGTATGGTAATTGCTGACGGCAAGTATGATCTTCAGCCTCATATTGCTAATGAGTTGCAAAAATTCTCAGATGTTCTCACAACCAAGAAAGAAATACAACAATTCTTGAGAATTACCAATTACATGTGCAGTTTTATTCCCAATATTTCTCGTCTCACTACTCCACTTTCCTATATGCTTAAGAAGAATCCTCTTTCGTGGTCTGAAAAGCAAACAAATGCAGTCAAGAGTCTTAAACGCAAATCCTTCCATACAC